CTGCAGTGATGATCGAATGTTCTGAAAGTTATCTTGCTGTTTTAGCGAATGTTGTTCCTCTTTTATCCATAATTCCAAAGACTCGTTGAATTCGGCAACAGTAATCATATCGTCTGTAATTAAGTTTTCTTCTTTCTTTACCTGTTTGCGAAGGTTTTTAACATATCGTAGAACGTAAGCAGTCGTTACGATAAGCTTCTTTAGAGAACTGAATTGGTTACAGTTGATGACGGTACTCAATCGCACTTCGCTGTCTTTCGTGTTCTGCTGTGCGATAAAGTTTGAAACTTCAAAGGAAGACTCGGGAATTTCAGAGTTTTCACCATCAACCCTCCCCAACAAAGAATTGTCAATAGTACAATTAGTGCTACTGACTTTACCAAGGGACTCCATGTCATGCGACAACAGCATCGACGGACCTTTTAACCAACACCCAGAAAAACACTCAGCTAAATTAGATGACCACCCTAGTAGGGATGTCCGCCGGGTTAAGCTCCCCTTTCACATAGCTCCATTTACTACGACCAACTACCTTCCTGATAGCTACAACTCTATTGTCAACCCATGGCTCCCAGCTCTTTTCCTTTCCCCGTATCCAAGGCAACTTCTGAATCCGACCAACAATACACATATGTAATGCGATTATTAGAACTAATAGTAATTTCCTTTATTAATTTACTTAAGTCTGTGAGAAGATAAATTATTCCTATCTGTTATTTGGAATAAATAATATTTTAAAAACATATGTTTCCTATAACACTCAATCGACGAGATATTATAATAATAAATATCCTTAACGCTTGCAATCTAAGATTGTAATTCCATATTCTTTTTTAGTCTTTTTCGAAGTCAAAAAATTTAAATAGTTCACTGATAATCTTATAAAATAAGAGTATTAGCAATGGTTTGGGACCAAGTCATCTTCCACATTAGGCTACCATCACCTTATTTGGCACTGCGATTAGCAATAAGCGGGGAAATTGGTTTTAAGCGCCAAATTTTCATGCTGCATTCTGTAGCTTCGACTGCTTCGTGATATATCTTCTTTTGAACCTCAAACTTTCTAAATGGCTGCTGCTTACAATCAGACTAGTTACAATTTTGTTGTTGGAGATAACACCTTCGGCATTGAACACACAGATAAAAATGGGCAGGTTGAGTACCTGGAAAAAGGTACTTTCGCCATCGAATTGCGGAAGCATATTGACGCTGGTGCAGATAGTGGCTTTCTTTGCAACATACATTGTTCTTTAAGAGAACAGTCCAGGTATTAGCATATTACAATATTACAGCAAATATAGTAAATACATCGTGTTTACTGAAAAATCTGCAAAAGTGCACCGATTTGTTTGCCCAATGCAAATTCATTCAGTTCTAGTACAAATGAATTAATGAAAATTATACACTTATTTCAAATCTTATTCACGGTGCTTGATAATAGCCTCATAATTTTATTCGATATACAAAAAGTATCCATCTTCTGTATCCTGTCGCACGTCAAAGCTATAGACATTGTATGCCCCACTAGGCCGTAGCGAACAGTAGCTGATCCAACATAAGTCTAAATAAATTGTGCCCAAAATTTTTAATATGAATACTGGTGTGGCCGATTTAAATTATTGTTCAAGGATGAAGGCAAGCTTTACATTATTTTAATATATTTTTTTGAAAAAGATATCGCACAAAAAAGTCTTAATACCCGCTACATTTTGAAAATGTCGAAGAGAATATTTTATGTTTATGGCCATAATTATATAGTAATAGAAAGAATAACCCCAAAGATTCAATTATTTAGAATTCTGTCATTCTGTGACATCTCTGTTATTTCAAACCTACCTGATTCTCCAGGAACAATGCTGGACGTAATGAAACATCTCTCTAAAATTTCTTGCTAAAGAGTAATAAAAAAATTTCCACTGAAAATATAAAAAATTGTCTCAAAATGGTTTTGTCAAACTACACATTGATGTCCTTAATACGAAATAATTTAATATAGAATAATATGAATTGAAAGAATCATTTTCAACAAAACAATTTTGAATTATTATTGTAGTTGTGAAATGCTCAGTTGTAATAATGTATATATCCTCTAGCTTTAAATAAAATCTTATGGTTATTGACGAAATTATGACCGCCTTCACGAAAGCCTGGTGCACACTAGACTAGACTAGAGCACACGCTGACTAGAGCTGTTTGCTTAGCAAAAGTTTTAGGCATGCCCTTCAGCTTATTGGATAATATATAGCTCTTGTGTGCGGTGTCCGTATGTACAATTTTTAGAGCAAGAATCATTTATACCCGTTCAGACGTGTAACTTGTGTTTTTACTTGTCAAATTGAATGCTTATTAAATCAACCATAGACTTCAGTTCATTAACATTAATAGGTTTGGCACATGGAAAATTTGACTTCTAAAACAAGCCTTTGATGTGTTAAGTTATACGACAGTGAGATGCTCAATAATAATAATAGCAATAGGTCAGCAAAAGGTGGCAGATCCGCTATTATCACAAGCATTGCGGTATATATTAGACACTACCAGCTAGTGACTGCATCGTATGTTTTGCAATACTATATATAGAATACAGGCTTACCTCAATAACCTCATCACCTCTTTGTTCTGTTTTATTTCACAGCAATATAATAATTTTATTCATTCAGCAGATACAAACATGCAGTCGTGTTTTTTTAGAATTGAAATATGATTTGTAATATGATACATCCACTGCTTTTTTAAGACACTAATAATTTGCCACAAGGTCTATACATCAATCATATATGCCTGTCTACGACCATCTCAAGGTCAATGACATTTTTCCATCCAACAAAATCTTTATTCACGCTGATCTGTATTTGTTGATGGTGAAGGTCTCAGATATGTTCCCGTTTTTGAATGGAAGGGAACCATAGGGAACACAGTTGTCGGATCCTGTTTGTAATACAATATCTATCAGTGTTTATATGAAATTAGGGATTACTTGCGTTTTTGTACAAGCGAATGATCATAGAGAACTAAAAAATACGAATAACCAGGAAAAAATAGATAAATAACAATTACTGAATTATCAAAAGTTTGACAATGATATTATCGAGGGCCGTGATAATCATTCACCTCGAGGGCCGTGATAATCATTCACCGTTGCACCGGGCGACTAATGAGCGACTCTCTCCAGATGCAGTTTACGGCTTTTCCCATATCGAAAATCAGGCTTGCCCAATTAAATTACCAAACATCCCACCCTTCCAAATTCTACTGATTGCCCCCAAACGATGAGTGTAAAGCAGATATACAATCTGCTTTATTGAGTCAGTCCTTAGTTTCGGCAGACTGTGAACTGTAATGTTTTTAGCACTTTTTAGAGAGCGTAATATGTTTCAGTGATTTTAAAAGAGATATATTTAATTTGTTTTTCAGGCAATGTTTCTTCAGGGTTCAAAAAGTAATGAATGGAGGACTTGGAAGGTTCTTAGATGAGTTTAATACATCATTCGGATCTGGTGTATTGACTAGTGATTTGGAACCAGTAGAGTTCAAAAACTTTTTGAAATGGCTAATGAAAAATTATTTCAGGTAACTTGTGCTTGGGGCATTCTGTGCTTCAAATTAACCATATTATTATTGTGTAAGCTTATGTAAAGGTATATACCAGTCAGTTGTCTCACAGGGACTAATAAAAACAATGCAATCTAATTTGAATAGAAAATGTCGCATCAACAATAGAAAGGATATGTTCGCAGCTGCCCGTTGCATTGGAAGACAAGCTAACACTAACATTTGGGTGGTTGCGGAGAATATCGAGATTTCTGGAGATGGGAGATTGGTTGATGCCGACAATGCCTCCTTTGTGTTTATTAAAAGTCTGTTTGGTTCAGAGACACAATGCAATATAGATCTTCCACTCAGCTCATTAACATTGGGGAAAGTCGTTGGTTCCCTCATGTCCTCACTTCACCATAATGGTTTAACGAGTATTTTTACAATCGGTATGGTACAATGATGTGCAAACTTATTTTAGTAAAAATTTCTACACGAAATGCTTTACGTGTCCGATTTATAAGTTTGCATTCGAGGTACAAAGTTGTGGATTTAGTGGAAAAAAGATCTCACTTCAAAAACAAAATCCACCCAAAATCTTTTACAACCGTGTAATATAATATACTAATATTTACAGCTGCAATATTGATTGGTCTTCGTTACGAAGCTATTATCAATGAGCTCAAATATTGTCCAACACCAGTGGTTTGTGGGACCAACCGATTGGGGAAGACAATGTCAGCTAAAAGTGCCTTAGCACTGATTGGTAACAACTCTCAATTCTACATATCTGCTAAGGAAAGATTTGTCCCGCGTTTATGCAGCAGGTCAACAATGCCACTGGTACTGGATGATGTGAAAAGCCACAAAATGCTGGAATTGGTGGCTTTGTCAATATTCAACAAAGGCAAAGATGGGACATGTGTCTTCGAAAAGGAACCAAGGACCTGTCCAACATTCACTGTTAACTGGGAGACACTGGATGACCTAAAGCGGGATCAAAGGTAAATTACATTTATGACAACTTGTTAATCTTCATTTGTTTATAAACAGATATTTGTTAATGCTTCAGTTGCATTTACATAGAGTAGTATGTTTATGTTTTCAGTAACCACTCGTGTAATTATTTCATTTTAACAGAATACTTGGGAGAATAGTGCTAATACTGTTCGTGCAAGGAGAAATATGCCCAAATGGTGTCCAAGCACAACAGAATGCAGACAATGCGTGCGAGCAATTGATAGTGCAGGCTTCAAGTGCTATAGGTGTGATGATTGGGGTGTCCGAAGATGTACAATATCTTTGTGTAACACAAGCTAATACCATCAAACATGGTATCACACCTAGGATAACCTATAATCAGTAAGTCTGCATCTCTCTAGGATTACTCATAATCGAGAATCCTATAGTCTCTTCCAATCCCAATGCTCATTTCAAATAACCGCGCGTCAAATAAATCAGGCAAGATGGCGGAAAAATCATCAGCTGCCAAAGTTAAGAAAAAAGATAAAACAGTGGCAGAATTGATGTCGGAACTCGCTGCTTTGCTAGACAAAGATGAGAAAGAAAAGAAAGAGAAAAAGAGAAGCAACAAGTCTGTTTTCTTCGAGCGATGCCCGACTACAGGGGAGCGTGTTTATTTCTCAAAACGTAGAAAACAGACGAAGTCAAGGCGAAGTTTAGCAGTGCCATCCTCATCTGAACTTCAAGATCAAGGGACAACTAGCGCGGAAAATGTTGTTGATGATATTAATACAGGTAATTGAAAATTACACGCAAAACAATCAAATACCCGATACCCTATAGTACTGATTTCAATGGCGACCATGTAGACAGTCAGACACTTTCAGACTTGATTGTATATATATATATATATATATATATATATATATATATATAATTATATATATATATATATTTCCAAAACAGAACTTCTCGACGTTTGGAGCTATGGGCCTTCGTCACTTTTTGCCTAACATTAATTCAACTTAGATTGATATTGCATTCTCAAGGTTCCTATGTACAGTACAGTATATAACAGTCTATCGAACTAATCGCAGTTGTACTTTTCTTGTTCTCCCAACTTCTCTGTAGAACTGGAGGAGGTATTTCACCAACATTATGAACCAGATGAAGATGACAGTATAAATAATGGTAATAATAATCCACTACATTTTGCTGTATAAATTTTAGCAAACAGAAAAATCTTATATTTAATATTTGTTTTACTGTGCCCAGAACTTGATAGACTGCTTGCAGAGACAGATAAGTTCTTAACAGAATGGAAGTCAAAACAGCAGAGGAGGACTGTGACATGGGGACAAAGGATGGAGAACGTCAATACTAATTGGGAATCCTGCCGTTCTTCAATCTTTGAGACTACCTTATCTTGTCAGGCACCAACACCTCAGATGTGTTCGCAGTGTAAAGTGAAATCTGGCTTTATCAAGTGTATGCAGTGTTGTGGAGGGGGAAGCTTGTGTGGCACTTGCGACCTAAAGCAACATGAGAATGATCCTTTTCACGACAGACAGCATGTATCTCAAGATGGGTTCTACCAGTATATTCGACCAACAGAAAGCACTGATGATGATGGAAATATTATAACCATAAGTAAGTGCAGTACTCCACAATTTTTTTTATTATTCCGAAAATGATTTTATTAATTCATACAAATTGGGCCAAAAAAATTTATTTTCATTACATTTTTTGTGCATTTTTTTCAGTCTGTTATTTGCCAGCTAGTGAACTTTACTAACAACTAGTCAACATCAGCATATACAATTTTAATCAATATTATTTTTACCTATTGAAAAATTCTTTGTGGTAGGAAAGAGTTATCAATTTTCAACCACTGTACCATCATCCTGTTCCTTTTGTGGAGAAGTTTGTGAGTTTGACATTATGTATGCCGACAATCATATGGTGTATGTTACTTTAAGAGGTAATTAGAGGTGCAGTAATTAATTAAATACTGTCCAGAACTCGTGTTAACCCAAGCAGAAACATCATTTTTACTTTAGGTCGATATGATTTGGATCAAATAACTGGTTATGAATGCAAAAACTGCCATAATGTCTGTCCTAATGCTAATTCCATTAAGCAAGTTGTTGCTTCAGGATTTTGGCCTGGAACTCCAATATCATATTCTCAACAATTTAGTCAGGAGCTATTTGAACATTGGGACATTATGCAGAAGCGAATGCCAGGCGTTTCTGAACGATCATTTGTGCTTGGATTACAAGATTTCTCATTAAATAAAAACAGGGTAAATCATTTAACACCAAAAAACTTGGTACCTGTATTTGTGTTTTTTCTTTCTGCTAGCTACTGTAAAGTTTATAGCTTGTTTTTATTATTAATATAATTATTAAGAATTTTCTTTTATTACTGAAGTAATGAACCATAATTTAATTAGTTTTTTCTCACCTGCAGGTTGCAACAATAAACATGAATACATTTAGTAGATCATTCAAAGAATGGAAATTTTGCACATTTGAAATGGAATTGCTGCAACAGAAAAATTGGATAGAGTGTCCTCCTTGCACAATTAGTCAGCATTCAGGACACGTTGATGGAAACATGAAGCTATATCGCTTTAGATCTGCTGGAGGGTGAGTTAGGATGCTTAATTTGCTGTCACCATATTTCTAGTTTAGCACTGATATGCGCTAATCCAAAAAGTGCAGAGGGTGTTCATGCTTTTTTTGTCCGTAGTACGGATACAAGAAACAAATTTTATTGGAACACAATGTTATGTAACTCTAACAAATCTAACAATCTAACAAAAAATAATGGGATGTTTTTGTGGTATGATGTGGTTTGCCAATACTGGCCATGGCTTATTAAACATGACCCTGTACTTGCTGACCAGACAAAACCTGGATTGTCTGTTATGCATGCCAAAGCCCATTCATGGACATGTCAGGTACCATTATATTACATTATATTATAATTTATACTGTACATTGGTAGATGTGTGCAATCATCAGATAAGTTGTTTAAATTGGAAACCTTAGTATAGCTTTTAATCTCTATCCTCAACAATCCCGTCTTAAAGTTTTTGTAGTTTTACATGGCGAAATAATAATAATTATTCAATGTGTGGAAAACACTATGTATGCCCATTTATACAATAATCATTACAGAAATATACGTAGTGTCACCCACAAAACGAAACAGTTATTATAACGTCCCCCTTATTCTTCCACATTTCCATGTCTTTTGACTTCCTCCATTCTTACATTAGTCATTTCTATCAATTTGTCAGGCATTTAATTTCCTTTTAATTAAGGTACTCTGGGGTGGTCGTTGGCAAAAAGAGGCGGGTGCGACCACTGGCGAAGAGGTCGAACAAATAAATAGCCATTTTTCTCGACTTGGAAATAGTACCAAACATATGTTACCAGAAGGTGTACATGTGATTATATTATATCTATATTTGGTTGTATTTGGCAGAAAAAGTTTTAAATAATGATATTTACTGTATTCTGTTTACAGGCAGAGAAGAATTACTTACTGAGCATGCATTGACTTGGAACAAGAGAAAAATCATGCAGATGCCAGCAGTTTTGGCAAAGAGATATATGAAGGTGTATTTTATTGTGTTGTTAGTAATACTTACGTACATCATCAGTATTGTATTCCAGCAACAACAAAAAATAACAGTTAGCAAATGAACGAATATATTTCGACCTATTATTTATTGTCTATTTCTGTGATAATAGGCAAAACAAGATTTTCAAGATCTGCAAAAGAAACTCGTTGAAGCAAAAAATGACTTAGGCGTTACAAATTCAGAGACATGGATTCAAGATGTGACTCAATCTGCAAGAGGTATACATAAAAGTCAGGAAATCCTCGTTACTATTACTTAAACTGTATTCTACAAAATATGATGTAGCCATCCCAATGTTATATTGCTAATTGTAATATTACATTGAAAATAAACATAATTTGCTTGCAGCTAAATATGACATACACTACTTCGTATCTTGTTAATAGAAGAAGAAATAAGAAGAAAAGTTCGAGTAGCTCTGTCAGAAGAGGAAGAAGCTTTTTGGGCGAACAAAACCCATGTTAATTCAGAATGTCGTAACCCTTTGGTTATCAATGCGGTCAAAGTATTTCCAAAGTACCATAAAAAAATAGCGTCTGCTGACCTCTCAGTTGTGGTGCCCAAGTTAAAAGAGAAGTTTGGTCCAGACTGGATGAATGTTCTCGATAACGGTGAAAAATCTTTAAGGGGCAATGTTTCGTCTATGTTGGAACGCAGTATGCAGACTGCACACTTTGAAATAGTGCAACTGGCGGTTAATATGAACAAACTCGCAGGTATGCACGTTTACACCCTATACCTTTTATGCATTCATTTTTTATAAAACTATCGGATTCATTTCAATTTGAAGATTTACGAAATGTTTGTTATTATACAGTATACCTATATATTAATTAGCTATATATATATATATATATTATTAACTATAAATAGCTATAAATATTATTTTAGATTCATCAAAGCAAAAACGTCGAATACGAACTAAAATTTCGTCCACCAAGAGCAACTTGAAAGAAGCTGTAGATGCCTACAATGAACTAAATCCAAGTGCTTCAATCAATGTCGAAGAGGTTCAATCTGGAGTTTTCACTTGGATCACAGAGAATGAATTTCAACAAGGTCAGGCTAACGGTATCGTGAATCTTAATATATAAATAATCAGGAAATACCATGCACGCAGTATAATACCATGTATTTGAAAAAAAACTATCAAAAATACTACAGTTATAAGTTCTTTGAAAGTTTGCATGGCGATGTATAATTTTGGACGTTTGTTTGTGGAAACAACTCGTGAACTTAGCGGTTTTGCAGAGCTTTCGACCCGTAAACCATGTAGGACCATCTACGAATTTGCACAGATGATGCACAGTCGGGACTTACAGACCGAAAACTTTGCAAAACTAAATTCATGTGGTGTTTCTACGAACAAACGCCCAAAAATAATACAGATAATATTATGTATTTACCTAATTATTGCTCATGTGTATATAAGTATGTTTTTTATTACAGTTTACCCGATTCGTGTTAAGAAGAAGATAGCTGAGTTGGAGAATGAATGCACTCGTTATGAAGAAGAGATTGGCATTTTAGAAAAGGAGATGAAACATTTCATCGAATATTATAGAAACAATGTTAGACGTCTTAAGGAGAACGAAGCCATCTTGTTAGCTCAGCTTACTAGTGGTGAGTCATGCATGTCAATAAAATAGTGTTTATATATTATAATATATATATATATATATATATATATATATATTCCTTGTAATTAATCCTTCGCTATATATCTTAATATAGTAACTTATTTATAGTTGTACTTCGTTCGTTTAGATAAATCTGAAATTATTAGCTCCATGGTAGAAAACAACGAGGTACATGAAATAGTAGTCCAGTTATAATACCGTGTTATATAAATAGTGTAAGTATAGAAATTAATTTTAGTCTATTTTGATGAACACGCGTTCTCTTGTGTCTATTTATCAGGGGAGATATATAACATATTCAACAGAGACTGGTGTTCTGAAAGGAAAGCTTGCCCTCTTAAGAATTGGTATAGATTTTGCTATGCGACAACTGGAATGTGGTGTGGAAATGTTTTCCAAAGTCCTTGGTAATGTCTCCGGCATTTCTGACATAATAATTGATGTTGAAGACGCTGTAGACGAATCACCGTGTTCAAGTGATGACGAATCCAGTGAAACAGAAGCCTAAAGCATTTCGGTAGAAAGGACCTTTTTCCCGGTCAACATTAGTTTCTAATATACTCTATTTTAGTTCTTATAATCATTATATGACACATCTCATTTTGTAAACGTTTATCAATCTGATTTAGCAAAACATCGAGTAGTAAAACATCTACATTCGGCGTTGTTCAGCGATTGTCTCGACATTTCGACCTATATCAGGCTATATGCCTCATTTTCAAGACAGAAGCTGGACAAAGTTGAATGTTTTAACATCATTGTAGTTCATAATATTCTTCCATGTATGTTTTCATGGTGACATCACTAAGTAAACTAGCTTGTATATAGGTATACCACATACTGCAAAGCTTTCGGTCTGTTAACAATATGCAGTTCATTCAAGGCATTGTCGCTACCACCTTTTGTACGATAAAGCACGTTTGAAAATAATTGAAACAAACTGGATGATATCAGACTTGTCACAAGGCTGTCCCAACAAGTCTGTTACACTCCTGGGGCCGGTTGTATCAAGCCCGTTCAGCTTAAACGGTGGTTAAGTTCAAAATAGAAAGCAAGCCTGCCGCTTTATTCAACAAGTAAACTAAATGTTTTCAACCATAATACAAAGATACTGTTTACAACTACATATTCAGTGCATAATATTCAAGTTGACTCATTCAAGAGAAATGTAAGAGTGTTATTTAATTTTGACTTATCCACCGTTTAAGATAAACGGGCTTCATACAACCGGCCCCAGGGGCCTGTAGTATGAAAGCGTGATAACGCTATATCCACCGGATAGTGACATTTTCAACCGTTCTAAAAATGCTCGAAAAGCAATAAAATTTCATCTTTGGAGCCAACAATTATTAAAGATGATCTTCGATATAGGAATACTAAGTTATAATGAATCAAAGTTATACCTATAACAACGCAGCAAGTTGTGTGACAAGAATGTGGCAAGTAGTGGGACTGAACACAATTTGTTGACAGATTGTTGCGTGGCAGACATCTTTATTT